GAGATACATAGAAATATATAGAGATATACAGAGATATATAGAGATATATAGAGATATATAGAGATATATAGAGATTTATACAGATATATACAGATATATACAGATATATACAGATATATACGGATACATACAGATATATACAGATATATAGTTTTATATAGAGATATGTAGAGATATATAAAGATATATGGAATATATGGGATGTATATTTTTCTATAGAATATATTCAATAAACTAAAGAAAATCAATTTTCATTAGTATCTCCTGTGTCACATTGGGCAACAATAATATTATCCATAGATGTATTTGTATATCTATTTATATGTATATATAAGGTAGAAGTATATTTACCCTATACTAACAATAATATTATCCATAGCTCGGATGTATTTGTATATCTATTTATATGTATTTACAAGGTAGAAGTATATTTACCCTATACTAACAATAATATTATCCATAGCTCGGATGTATTTGTATATCTATTTATATGTATTTACAAGGTAGAAGTATATTTACCCTATACTAACAATACCTAATTAAAGCTTGGGAACCCGGCTTTCCCGGATAAATAAACTTACTCTAGAAAATTCAATTTTTAAACCAAGCTTAAAACATTCATATGTTTATACAAGTTCCCCAATCAAAATTTGAGGCAAATCGATCAGGGGTTTCATGAGTTATGATCGGATATATAAACAAACAGACAAACAGAGATGTCTACTTTATGTATACATATAAAAGTATTTATAATTAAGGTGAGTATGAAGTAGTTATAAAGAAACTATAGAAAGAGAGAAGAAACTGTGTTACAAGAAGCATGAGGAAGAATGGGTGTGGGTAATTAAGTGCAGATATGCTAAAGGGGTGGATTTAACTTCAAACTATTAAATTTAATCACATATTTTGACTAGAGAGGGGTGTGTTTAAGATAGATTTCTTGGGAGAATGAATTAGAGAGATGTTTGTTAGATAGAGAATGTAGTAGAGAGACGGTTTGTTAGATAGAGAATGTAGTAGAGAGACGGTTTGTTAGATAGAGAATGTAGCAAAGAGAAGGTTTGTTGGATAGAGAATTTAGTAGAGAGACGGTATGTTAGATAGAGAATGTAGCAAAGAGAAGGTTTGTTAGATAGAGAATGTATTAGAGAGATGGTTTGTTAGATAGAGAATGTAGTAGAAAGACGGTTTGTTAGATAGAGAATGTAGTAGAAAGAAGGTTTGTTAGATAGAGAATGTAGCAAAGAGACGGTTTGTTAGATAGAGAATGTAGCAGAGAGATGGTTTGTTATGTAGAGAATGTAGTAGAGAGAAGGTTTGCTAGATAGAGAATGTAGCAGAAAGACGGTTTGTTAGATAGAGAATGTATCATATAGAAGGTTTGCTAGATAGAGAATGTAGTAGAGAGATTATTTGTTTGATAGAGAATGTAGTGTAGAGAGAGAGTTTGTTTGATAGAGAATGTAGCAAAGAGAAGGTTTGGTAGATAGAGAATGTTTTAGAGAGACGGTTTGTTAGATAGAGAATGTAGCAGAGAGACGGTTTATTAGATAGAGAATGTAGCAGAGAGATGGTTTGTTATGTAGAGAATGTAGTAGAGAGAAGGTTTGCTAGATAGAGAATGTATTAGAGAGAAGGTTTGCTAGATAGAGAATGTAGTAAGAGAGATGATTTGCTAAGTAGAGAATTAATTATATAGAGAGTTTGTTAGATAGAGAATGTAGTAGAGAGATTATTTGTTAGATAGAGAATGTAGTGTAGAAAGAGAGTTTGTTAGATAGAGAATGTAGCAGAGAGAGGGTTTGTTAGATAGAGAATGTAGCAGAGAGACGGTTTGTTATATAGAGAATGTAGTAGAGAGAAGGTTTGCTATATAGAGAATGTAGCAAAGAGAGGGTTTGTTAGATAGAGAATGTAGCAAAGATAAGGTTTGTTAGATAGAGAATGTAGTAGAGAGACGGTTTGTTAGATAGAGAATGTGTCAGAGCGAAGGTTTGTTAGATAGAGAATGTATCAGAGAGAAGGTTTGTTAGATAGAGAATGTGTCAGAGCGAAGGTTTGTCAGATAGAGAATGTATCAGAGAGAAGGTTTGCTAGATAAAGAATGTAGCAGAGAGACGGTTTGTTAGATAGAGAATGTAGCAGAGAGAAGGTTTGCTAGATAGAGAATGTATCAGAGAGAATGTTTGCTAGATAAAGAATGTAGCAGAGAGACGGTTTGTTAGATAGAGAATGTAGCAGAGAGAAGGTTTGCTAGATAGAGAATGTATTAGAGAGAAGGTTTGCTAGATAGAGAATGTAGTAGAGAGAAGGTTTGCTAGATAGAGAATGTAGTAGAGAGATGGTTTGCTAGATAGAGAATGTAGTGCAGAGAGAAGGTTTGCTACATGGAGAATGTAGTAGAGAGAAGGTTTGCTAGATAGAGAATGTAGAGTAGAGAGAGGGTTTGCTAGATAGAGAATGTAGTGTAGAGAGAGGGTTTGCTAGATAGAGAATGTAGTGTAGAGAGAAGGTTTGCTACATAGAGATTGTAGTTGAGAGAAGGTTTGCTAGATAGAGAATGTAGAGTAGAGAGAGGGTTTGCTACATAGAGAATGTAGAGCAGAGAGAGGGTTTGCTTGGTAGAGAATGTAGTGTAGAGAGAAGGTTTGCTAGATAGAGAATGTAGTGTAGAGAGAAGGTTTGCTAGATAGTTAATGTATCAGAGAGAAGGTTTGCTAGATAGAGAATGTAGTAGAGAGAGGGTTTGCTAAATATAGAATATAGTAGAGAGAAGGTTTGCTAGATAGAGAATGTAGTAGAGAGAGGGTTTGCTAAATATAGAATATAGTAGATTGAGGCTTTTTAGATAGAGATTGAATTAGATAGGGAATATATTAGCTAGAATGATATCAGGTGTAGCACTGTATTTAAAATGTAAATGTAAGGTTTAGTTTAAGCTTATAACAGGGGCGTGTATATAGTTTGGATTAAAAGAGAAAGGGCGTGGCGGGGGCTCAGAGGGGTCTAAGAGGTTTAAGGATGGTAGGGATTCGACTGATTATTTATATGATGAAATTATCTAAGCTGAATCAAAGAATTAAATCCTGTANCCTTGAAAGATATGTTGGACTAGGTATGTGGAACTGCTTAAGGCATGAGTTGTGTAGGGCGTCTGAGGCGGAGTAGCAAGAGAGAGATATGCTAATCAGTTATACTGACACACACACAAACATACCTCACACACACAAACACTCACCTTGCAGAAACACACTCATCACACGTACACAAACACTAAATTAAATAATCACACTCTGTATGAGCCTAATCATAAGGTTTATCATATTTATCAGCTGTTGATATACTTGCATTCTATAAAAAAAAATAATAAAACAGCAAACATCACTTTGCCACAATAAAATAAAGAAACATCTAAATTGTAAAAACCAGTATAAAAGAAAAATTAACACAATTCATGCCTAACAAGCCCCCCCCCCCCCCAATATTTTGCTATCAAAATAAAGATCTTTACACACTGTAAACAAGAAACGCAATCAGCTTTCAAGACGAAATAACAAAAGCTAAAAATAAACATTACATGCAATATTCACAGGATTAAGAACAGACATAAATACAATCTCATAATTCAACAATAAATTTCACATCATGTAGAACCAATCAAATAAGAAGACGACATGTTTGCATTCAATTCTGTGTATTTGATGTTGTTTTAAAGCAAATAGCTTGAAAGTCAACTTGAGTGAAATGGGTCTGAGTACACTGCACAATTCATGTGTTTCATATTATTTAATTTTTCAAAATTATAACTTGAATCTAACAGTCATCTTCCTACTTCACAGTTTAATGGGATTCATTGTATCTAGTTTGATAACGGAGAAAGATTAGGTCCTATAATATAAAACATGAATATGAATTTGAGATTTTAGGTGAAGCTCAGTTTTGCAAATATTATTATTTAAATATTTATTTCTAATTATAGATTATAAATAATTGTTTGTTTAGTTTATCGAGTAATTGAGCTGAAATAAATAGATTAATATTGTTTTATATCAAATTAACTTTTTACATGGTTTAATTGAGTCAACTTGTCATCTTCTTATAAATATACCGCTCTGTCACACCCCCTGGTATTGCATGATAGTAGAGAATGTGTTGTGTGTTAGGAAGGATAAAACTGTTGAAAGGTTTGGTCTGCAGGAAATCAAAGTTCAGAAACATGTATAAACCATGAATATATATTATATACAATATATATATATATACAACACACTCACAGGGTGTTTCTAAAAACAGTTGTCTCAATTCTTAACAAGTTAACTTTTTATTAACCTTTTAAATATCCAAAAAACGAAAATTGTTTTAGAGAAACTCTGTAATATATTATGCATCTACTTATATAAAACAGCAATCTCTTTTTTTCGGTTTGTTTGTATACAGTTTGTCCGATCATAGCTTATGAACCTCATTTTTGCACATTTTTTATCATAGAATTTCGAAAATATCATCAAATTGTTTATTATTATTATTACTATCTTCATCATTATATTAGATGTAAAATGTATAATCATAAAAAGTTATAATCATTATTATTATTGTTTTAAGTTATTGGTTATATATACCTGAAGAAAGAAACTGAATAAAGTTAACAGACTTTTAAATTGGAACATGTCTTTTAAAATTTTTAATATCAATTATCTTATAGTCGTCACTTTCTTATATCTTTTAGGACATGAGAGAGTACTTAGAAAACAAAAAACATGTATATACTTGGTTCAACTCTAATTAGATTTAAAGCACACATCTTCTCAAAACTTCTCCTTCATTCAATTTATTTCCGGTTCAGAGACTCTTTTCCGGTTAATTTCTCGCCTCGGCGGACGGATAATTCTAGAAGTTTTAGTAGTTAAAGGAAAAAGAAATATTTACGTTTGATTGAGATGGACGGATTCGAAGGATGAGTGTTAAAAATAATTTATCTTAGTAATTGTAATCACTTTCAGGTGGGGCTGGAATGAGCAAGTCATCTAATATCCAACCTTCTTCCCCTTCTATCCCGAGAATGGACTCGTCCAACAATTCTTTTGCTGCTGTGTTGCGGGATCTGGCCAAGAATGCGGGAGATCTTGAACATAGAAATAAACTTAGTTCCTCCCCTTCTCCTTCATCATCTTTGCTAGATGTTAGAAAGGTTAGTACTTTTATCAAACTTTTTGTTAACAAATTTTTCAAAAATTGTTTTTTCAGGGGTTTTCCAGCAGCGGAGCAGGCCCCATTTCTTATTCGTCCTCTCCGGTCTTCTCTTTTCCTTCAACATTTTCTGTCTCATCTTCCTCTCCTTCCTCCTCCTCCGCATCCTTCTCTAATCCAATCTACTCCAATACATCCCTCTTCTCTTCAGCTCCATCCACCTCCAATCCTCTCCTAGACTCCAGTTTTAAACCCTATAGAACCAACACCTCAACCCACCCTCTCCCTCCAACCATCTCACACTCTGGTCTCCATTCTAGCCTAGCTCATTCCTCCTTACCCCCATTCTTGTCCATGCCAGGACATCCAGCCTTCCCCTCCCACCTTCTCCCCCTTCCCGGTCTTCTGCCTGGTATCTCAACTCTACCCTACGGGTAAGGAATAAGGAATAAGGATAGCATTGATTAAATATTAAACAATTTCTCAGACAAATCTACATTTCTCTTCACCTAATCATACAACCCTGAGGAATAAAAAATATGGTTTCTGTATCTAGGAAATATGTTGTGTACCTGTATCTAGAAGCTAGGTTCAGTGACATGTATAAGGAGCTAAGGGTTAGTAAAAGTATCTAGGAGCTAGGTTTATTAGCTTTATCAAGGAGCTAGGTTCAGCCTCAGCACCTGTATCTATTAACTAGGTTCAGCACCTGTATCTAGGAGCTAGGTTCAGTACCTGTATTTAGGAGCTTGGTTCAGTGACTGTATCTAGGAGCTAGGTTCAGTAACTGTATTTAGGAGCTAGGTTCAGTAACTGTTTCTGGGAGCTAGGTTCAGTAACTTTATCTAGGAGCTAGGTTCAGCACCTGTGTCTAGGAACTAGGTTCAGTAACTGTATCTAGCAAGGAGCCAGTAACTGTATCTAGGAGCTAGGCTCAGCACCTGTATTTAGGAGCTGGGTTCAGTACCTGTATCTAGGAGCTAGATTCGGTTACTGTATCTAGGAGCTAGGTTTAGTAACTGTATCTAGAAGCTAGGTTCAGCACCTGTATCTAGAAGCTAGGTTCAGAAACTGTATCTAGGAGCTAGAATTAGTTACTGTATCTGGGAGCTGGGTTCATTAATTGTCTCTAGGAGCTGGATCACGTAAAATCTAACCTGTTTATCGGAGTAAGATTAAATATAATTATGTATAACCAATATCCAACGGTTGAAAATGGTTCTGTATCTTCTATCTTGCTTGAGAATGTTTCACGGGCATTTTCCCCCTCAATATTTTCTTGTTAGTAGTTTATGAAGAGGATGGTCGGAAATATCCTCCTTCCATACCACATATCTCTTCCTAGTACATTCAACTATATTCATACAGGGATACCTACAAAGGATGAAACTTCAGAGACGATTGTACAGAGTTTGTTTAGTCCATTTTCTTGCATTCAGGGTTCCTTGTAGGTCAAAACTGTCTTATTTCCGTGCATTTTGTAAACCACCAAAATACTTCATTGAATGCAAAACCCAAAAATCAAGCTTTAAATTGTCATATTTCTTGAGTTTGGGATCGTCTTTACAGTCTTATCTATTGTGAGTCCGGTAACCCTGTATAGGGACATTCCAGTTTTTTTTTAATTAAGAAACTTGAGTTTTTAATCTTTTATCAATTGTTTTCATTTTAACTTATAATATTTTGATTAGAATATATCAAATTATATTTAACTTTTTTCAGCTTAGAATCAGATCCTCTTTACCGGGCTCAGCTCCACCACTATTTAAACTTGAGTGGAGCCAGATCTCATCTTTCTCCTCTACACACCTTCAATCCATACCCTCCCCACCCAGTCCAGGACCTGGAGACAGTCCAATCTCTCAGGATGGGATTAAACCCTGCTCCAGGTCCGGAGTATAATAGGGAGGAGGGGAAATATTCCAAACATAAAGTTAAACCAGGACGAAGTTCCTCGGATAAATTTAAATCTAGTTTTAGTAAATCCAACATTCAGAACAAGAGAACTAAGATTGTTGATCTTGACTCCAGTGGAGATGATATAAAAGTGATTGAAATAGATAGTGCTGTGACAACAAGTACGACGTTGACATGTACAACCGCAATCTCAACCTCAATGACGGTTTCATCATTAACATCTGTAGTATTTTCATCCACTCCCATACCCTCAACTGCTCCTAGTGATACATTGTTAGGAACGAAAATACCAAAAATTGAGCCGAAAACTGAACCTGATGCAAATTTTATTCCAAAATGTCTTTTCGTTCGTCCGTTTGAAGACGATTACTCTCCAGTTCGTCCCGAGAGTAGGAGCTGTGAACCTAGTTCAGGAGTTTCTCCGAGCTCAGGACTCCGAGTACAGACCTTAAAGTTTGAAATAAGTGAGAGAAAGGTTGATGATCAAGACAGTGATTATGAATCCATGTCCAGTGATAGTTCAATTAAACGAGAAAGTTTATGTGAAAGTTTGAATAAAAGTGACAGTTTCAGCTCCTACCCGGAGATATCCTCCGAGGATTCGTCCTTCTCTTGTAAACTGGAGAAGGATTCGTCCTACCAGGTGAAGGTGGAGGAGGAGGTGGTGGTGCAGGAGAGTAAGGAGATGAACGGGTTCTCCTGCAAGATGGAGGAGGAGGAGGAGAATGTGGAGGAGAAGGAAGAACAAGTCCATGTTGTGCCAAGTCTAGAAGATCTAACTCTTTGTCCAACATCAGGAAAATATTCTTTCCATTTTTTTCTTCTAATTTTATCTTCACAGATAATAGTTTTTTACATGCCTGAAGGATCCTCAAATACAGGGTGTCCCAATAAACATGGGAATTCAGTGACGAATTCGTTATCGTCTTTTTAAATAATTCTTTGATTTAGTATAGTGATACCTACTGAGAAAGCTGTAATCTGTAAGAGTTTCGTCTGCTATGTTCACATTTTGTTTGTTTATGTTTTGACTGCATACGGTTGTACTTAGTAAAACAAGAAAATTGCAGTATACAAACAGAGTAACCTTGTCCGTCTTCACTGTTCATCTTGTGGAGACATTATAAACTCATCATTACAGTCTTTCACCCTTTTCATAAAATAAACTCTAGCAGACAAAATAATATTATGTATTTTTAAATTAGGTATTACAATGCTAATTCATAACGAAGACGATATACTATTCGTCACTGAATTCCCATGTTTTTTGGGACACCCTGTACTTAGACTACCCTCTTAAACTAAACATTCTTCAGTATAGTTCACAAAACACTCCACAACTATTATCCTTTTTTCAGCCCCTTCCCCCCCCCCATTCTTACTCAATCCCCTCCTTCTTTTCATCTGTCCCTCACCCCCCCCCTCTCCCTCCCTTTATTTTCTATCCCCTCACTCTCTCTTTTCTATCCCACTGCTATGGAAAAATTTCATTTCCTGTGAGACGGAGGAAACATATTTTCATTTGACTGAGCTCTCCATTTCCTAGTCTAACCTTCAACACAACAATCCCTTCTTATACAATCCACTATCCCTCCTTATACAATCCTTATACAATCCCCAATCCTTCCTTATATAATCCACAATCCTTCCTTATATAATCCACAATCCTTCCTTATACAATCCACAATCCTTCCTAATACAATCCACAATCCTTCCTAACACTATCCAAAATCCTTCCTAACACAATCCAAAATCCTTCCTAATGGAATCCACAATCCTTCCTTTTACAATCCTAACACAATCCACAATCCTTCCTTATAAAATCCTTTAAAAAACCTTCCGTTTACAATCCGCTTTCTTTCTTTATACAATCCACAATCACTTCTTACACAATCCACAATCCTTAAAAATTCACAATCCTTTCTCATGCAATCCTTATACAATTCAAAATTCCTCCTTATACAAACCTTATACAATCCACAATCCTTCCTTATACAATCCATAATCCTTCCTTATACAATCCTAACACAATAATTCACAATCCTTTCTCATGCAATCCTTATACAATTCAAAATTCCTCCTTATACAAACCTTATACAATCCACAATCCTTCCTTATACAATCCATAATCCTTCCTTATACAATCCTAACACAATCCACAATCCTTCCTTATACAATCCTTATATAATCCACAATCCTTCCTTATACAATCCACAATCCTTTCTTATACAATCCTTATATAATCCACAATCCTTCCTTATACAATCCACAATCCTTCCTTATACAATCCATAATCCTTCCTTATACAATCCTAACACAATGCACAATCCTTCCTTATACAATCCTTATATAATCCACAATCCTTCCTTATATAATCCACAATCCTTCCTTATACAATCCACAATCCTTCCTTATACAATCCACAATCATCCTTCCTTATACAATCCACAATCCTTCCTTATACAATCCACATCCTTCCTTATACAATCCATAATCCTTCCGTATACAATCCTTATACAATCCACAATCCAAATCGTGGGATTAAACTATTTTAATGAATGAGTATTTGTTTATCCAGGACGCTTAATCCAGAACCTGGAGAAGGATCAAGAGAGAAAACAATCTGCATTTCAAGCTGAGCAAGATCCTAAACCTAAAACTGATCCTGACCTGGAACCTGAACCTGAACCCTGCTTTCCAAGTGCAGAAGAGAAGATGGATTATCTGGGATATCTAAACCTTGTCACCCATGATAAGAAGAACGGTAATATTCAAATCTTAAAAGAATTCGAAAATTCGGATTATTTTTTTTTTACTTTTGAAATATGTTTTATGAAATTTTCTTTCAAGTTATTTTGTAGAAAATATGATAATTTTATTTTCTCGTTCTTATTTGTTAAGTATGGCGTGTATGTTTTTGTGAATTAAACCCCCTAATTTAATTAGTTGTCTTCGGGTTTGGATGGAATGTACTTCTTGTTCTTTATATTCTAGTTTACTGAGAATGTCAACCTTGAACAGTCCTAGTTTTATCATATCAAAACTTCTAAAATTCTAAGATTTTATTAGCCAACCTCTCCACCCCCTCACTTCATCGTTAACCCTCCTCTTCCTTCCAACTAAATCTTTCTCACCTTCCTTTGAGTCTTTTGTTTTTCTTTTAGTAGTAACTAGTGCTCCTTCTGTATGATGTCTTTTTACTATGATAGTCCCTCTTCTTCTTGTAGTCCCTCTTTATCTTGTAGTCCCTCTTTATCTTGTAGTCCCTCTTCTTATCATAGTCCCTCTTCTTCTTGTAGTCCCTCTTCTTAAAATTCTCATTTTAGGCCGCCCCAACTTTTTACTGGTACGTTAATTTGCCAGTTTCTGTCAATCCATTCATCTATCTATCCATTCATTCATCTATCTATCTATCTGGCAATTATCTATCAATCAATCAATTTAATCTTTTTTCAGAGATGACCTTTTTTATGCTCAAACTAACAAGCAAGCTTTATTTTTTCATCTTGTATAGATAGTTAATCTATGTGTAAGACTCTAAATCTAATTGAAATAGTTATCTATCTATAGTTTATATAAATATATTCTACCTATCTGAGTATTTATATATTTATTATCTATCTATCTATCTCTTCATGTATTTGTGCTTACAGCCTATCTATCCAGTGTCCAGCTATCTATCTATCTCTCTATTCAACTAACTTTGGATAGATAGTTAGATATACATATATATATATTTAATTTATCTATCTATCTAGATGTCGAGATAGCAAAGCTGGAACGAAGACGGGAAATTCTCCGAGAATGTTCTCCGAGCCCTCCCCCTCCCTCCCCAGAGACCAAATGTCCCTCCCCGGAGCTACCCCTCCCCTCCATCCCTCCCCACCTCTCCAGACTCCCGGAATCACACGCCAAGGCGATGTATCTTTCCGCAATAGGGTTGTGTCGAAATACAGAAGAACAGAAGTTAAATAATGAGATAATTTGGTCGGCCATATTGGATAATAGAATTCATCATAAACGCGATAATTCTTCGATGAATGTTTATTTTAAAAGATTACGCGGGATGTCGAACTCCTTCCTGCGAGGGGTAAAAAGGGACTATCACGGGACCTTCCTAGCCCCCAGCCCTGATTCCCAGACTATACCCCTGAGCACTGCTTTGTCCATCCTGAACACAGACTCTGCAATGTTTAGCTCCGGGTCTGATGGTTCTCAGCTAGAGAGTATCACGATCCATGATTCCTCACAATCCTTTCATCCCGGAGAAACTATAGATCCTGCTCATGTTGAGTCCTCTAGACACACCTTGGAGTCTTCCACAACACATCCAGAGTCTTCCAGGCTCTATATAGAGGAATCCGTTCTCTCCGGAGAGGGTTCCGTCTCCGGGTCCCCTCTCTCGACAATGCATCCTGCTGGGTTGTATCCTGTATCCCAGCAGGTACCCGGAGAACAGCTGAAACTAAATTCTCTAGAGACTACTCCGGGTTTAGGGTTTAGTATTAAGACTGAGGATGGGAAGAGGATAAAATTGAGTAAGGACGTATCTCCGGATACTCATCTACACTGGCCTGGAGTTGATGCTGTTATAGAGTCCTACAGAAGATATTCAGAAGGTTGGCTTTTAACTTTAAATTTTCAACTTTTTATTAATTTTGTTGGTTAATTTTATTCTATTTGTATAAGTAAAGTAATATCAAAAATCCATTTTTTATGAATAAATCTGTCTCCCCCCAAATCCATTTTATAAGAAAAAAACGATTTTGGAGAAGAAAAACTTTTATTTTAAATTTGAACTGAAAATTAATAAATCATCAACATTACATTACAAATACAGTGCATAATTTAAAATGTGATTAATTTAAGGAAAATATTATTTATTGGAAAGATATCGTTATCGTTATTTAAAGAGAACTACTGGGTAACGATGTAGAATAAGGAATTACAACTTCTGCTGGCGGTCCTTTTATCTGAACTTTTCATCTTTCGACCCCTCCCCGGCCCCTTCTCTTCCCAACATTAAAAATATGGTTTTTAAAATTGAAAGTCAGATTCTAAGAATTCTGTCTACTTCTGAGGAATTTTTGACAGAACTTAATCATTTCCACGAAGAGATGGAACATAATAATTTTTCAATTCTTATTCTCGCGGTCGAGCTCTACAATCCTATGATCCTTCAATCCTACAAGCCATACAATCCTACAATCCTACAATCATACAATCATACAATCCTACTATCATACAACCATACAATCCTACAATCCTACAAGCCTACAAGCCTACAATCTTACAAAATCATACAACCCTATACAATCCTAAAATCATATAATCTTACAATCCTACAATCCTACAATCATACAATCCTACAATCCTATACAATCCTATAATCTTACAATCCTATAATCTTACAATCCTACAATCCTACAATCCTACAATCCTACAATCCTATAATCATATAATCTTACAATCCTACAATCCTACAATTCTACAATCCTATAATCCTACTATCCTAGACAATCCTAAAATCCTACAATCCTACAATCCTACTATCCTACAATCCTACAATCCTACAATCTTACAATCCTACAATCCTACTATCCTATACAATCCTATAATCATATAATCTTACAATCCTACAATCCTAAAATCCTACAATCCTACAATCCTACTATCCTATACAATCCTATAATCATATAATCTTACAATCCTACACTACAATCCTTCTGTTTTTAATTATCTTATTATTCTACCTATTTAACGCTTCTTAATCCTATTCATCAAAGAGCTAAATCCCTCCAAAGGAATTGAGTTTTTCCCATAAACTTTTATATTTTAATACCTTTATCTTTGCAACCCAATAGACCTTAGATATTTCAAACTATAAACTCTATTAGATCATGCAATCTAAGTTTGAAATATCAAAGGTTTACACCGCTATGTTGCAAAGATAAAGCGAATGGAATATTCAAGTTTGTGGCAAAGACTCATCTCCTTTGTTCATCTTGATGGTCTTGTAATATCATTATCAGCCTTCAAATCTAGTGAGATGCCATTATTACTAATTATTCCACTATATTCTGGCGACTACCGTATATATTGTTCTATATTTTAGAATGTGTTGAGGAGAAAAGTGAATTATTGTCCCGACAAAGCAGGATCCAGGCTCAGATGATGTCGCATAGAAACCAGGTCGACAATCTGTCGACCCGGCTCTCAAGTCTAGCCAGACTTCAACAGACTCTAGTGTCGAACCATCAAGTAGACGAGGAGTCTCTAAGAACTTTAGTCGCAAATATAATGAGCATATCTCAACTGTGTCGAAAGTCTCCAGTCAAATCCTCGCATAAAAGTCGGCTAGTTAAAGATGAAAGTCGAAACTGTTTGTGAATTATGTCATACATTTAACTATACAGTGATAAGAAAGAAAGCTGTCAGATATTTAGATTATGTACAAATTGTACAACATAGAACTGGATTCTATGGTAGATTTACATTTTACATGTACCATGAAGTACATATTTGTTAACTAATGCAACATCAAAAGGTTGTTTTAGACCCTGTTTCTTCTTTTACTGTTTCTCTATTTGTACCCTTGTATGTTCCAATGCACCGAATTCAAATCTTAGAGAACACTGAGATTATGTACAAGATGTTTTTTTATTGTATGTACACTATCTCGAGATTATGTACAAGATTCAATTATCTGTATGTATACTGTCCTGAGATTATGTACAAGATGCAATTGATTGTATGTACACTCCTAAATTATGTAAAGATGCAATTAATGTATGTACACTAAACTGTACTGAGATTATGTACAATATGCAGTTAATTGTATGTACACTTTTCTAAGATTATGTACAAAGTACAATTAATTGTATGTACACTACACTGTACTGATATTATGTACAAGATGCAACTAATTGTATGCACACTAAACTGTACTGAGATTATGTACAAGATTCAATTGATTGTATGTACACTGTCCAAAGATTATGTACAAGGTACAATTAATTGTATGTACACTACGTACTGTACTGGGATTATGTACAAGATTCAATTAATTGTATGTACAAGATGCAATTGATTGTATGTACACTGTCCTAAGATTATGTACAAGGTACAATAAATTGTATGTACACTACACTGTACTGAGATTATGTACAAGATGCAATTAATTGTATGTACAATGTCCTAAGATTATGTACAAGGTACAATTAGTTGTATGTACACTACACAGAACAGAGAGTATGCACAAGATGCAGTTAATTTTCTGTGATACTAAACACTGCTGTACCCTAACCATTGTACAAACACTCAGCTGTGCACACTGTACACTGTTCGTTGTACAGCTAATGTTTGTTGTATACTATACATCAATGTAAAGCATATACTAGTGTAGTGTAAATATATATGCATATATATCTGCATATATATGTTTTATGTATGTAGATTACACTACTGTACGTAAACTGTACATTGACAAGTTCTGCAACCAACCAATTCTTCCATTCGTGCCATTTACATCATGTACATTGTACATCGCCATTGTACAGTTACACTGTGCACTGTACACCTTTCACTGTTCAGTGTATAAATATTTTTTCGCTTAGTTAACTATCCTCTTTATTAAAGAGTCCCAATAAATATGAAATTGTGTGACTCAATTAACGTTTATTGAAACTCTCCGTANCCCCTCTCCACTCTATGCCTTAACCCAGGTTTTTGTGATGCAAAATTTTTGAATCAGAATAAAAATGTCTGAACCTGCCACCGTTGTATTCTTATTTAGATTGTGTGTCAAGTCTGTGTGTGCATGTTTGAGAAGTGTGCAAATTTTCGTTAGTTTTCGTGCAGCTACAAGAGTTCGGAACTTTTGTATTAGATTAATTAACAATAACAGATAGAACACGAGATGTTGTCTTTTCAAGATATAGGGATTTTCGTTCACAATAACTCTGAGGCATAGGCCCAAAGGAGTTACGCGCCGCATGCTCTCTATCTGTCTTGATTCAACGCTGCCTGCACTTAACTCCTTTGGGCTTCTGCCTCAGGGTTATTGTGAAGGAAAAATCCCGAAATCTTGAGAAGACGACATCAAGTGTTCTATCTATTATTGTAATTTAATCTATGGCGTTAATCTACAACACCTAAACTCAAGTTAAACCGATATAATCTGTGAACCAAATGTCTAATATTTTCGCGATCCCTTCATCAACCTTTAGATATATCCTGATGGAATTAGCCTAATTGTTGGAGTTAATAAGATAAGGATTAGTGTTATCTGACGGGATTAAGAACACAATGGTTTTGATCTTTGGATGGTCAGAGAGTATGGAAGGATATTCTTTAAATTAAAAGGCCACCCATGCAGTTGCCTGTTAACCATGATTTCTGATATTTCTTACTTGATCTTCATACTCAATGTGTGCACTTACAAACTTAAGGATCAATGATTGATCCCTAAATGAAAGTTATCCCTGCAGGGTATGACCACCACGGGATATAGAAGAGGAATAAAATTGATCCATAGATCTGCATAAAATGGATCCCATAGATTAAAGTTCTAATTTTTCTATAGATTTTTATTATTGAATTTCAATACAGATTGTGCACTGTGAACTTTGAAAAAGATAAGAGAGATGAGATAACGGTTAATGGATATAAAAGAAGATATTAAAATTAAACATATTAAAGATCAAAGAATTGCTGCAGTGCGGTGCAGTGGTTCTCTTTCTTTTCATCAATAAATATAATAATAATAAATATAGATAGATAGATAGATAGATAGATAGATAGATAGATAGATAGATAGATAGATAGATAGATAGATAGATAGATAGATAAATAGATAGATAACAGCTCCGCCATGACAGGTTTGTTGGAGCTACTAGAGACTTAAACCTTGATAAACATCTAATCTAAGAGGTCATTGTTCTTAATTTGTAATCGAAATATCTTTTTATCCGACCTGCCATCATTCATTCATTAATCCACTCAATTATCTATGTAATTGTTTATATTTCTTTCTATTTTGTCTGTCTGTCCATCTATCTATTTGTTTCTGTCTATCTATTTTCCCACATTCCTATAATCAAAATTTCATTACGAATTTTCTTTTTATTCATCCAATTTTTTTCTATACTATATTCTATCTTTCCTGTATCCTAGTATAATATATAAATTTATCTTTCCTTCATATATCTAAACATCTAAATAGCTTTCTATATGTATCTTTGTATCTATGTATCTATGTATCTATGTATCTATATATCCATGTATCTATGTATATATGTATATATGTATCTATGTAT